AAACAAAAAGTAATGCCTCCTGATATCAAGCCTGAACCTACTCTCAATCAATGTATGCCCGTTATTCCTTGTTATCCCAGGTGGTACCCAGGGGAACAGAGCCTCACCTATTTTCCGCTGGTCCCACCTGGTGCGTTTATAGACAGCTACCAGATCCCCTCTCAGTCTTCTCTTGTGGAGGCTGAATAGATTCAGGCCCTTTAGTCTATCTGTGTAGGGCCTGGCCTGCTGCCCCCTGACCATGCAAAAGGCCCTCCTCTGGACCCTCTCAATGCTAGCCACATCCCTCTTGAAGTGCAGCACCCAGAACCGGATGCAGTACTCCAACTGCAGCCTGACCAGCGCTGCATAGAGGGGAAGGATCACCTCCCTGGACCTGCTTGTGATGCATCTGTAGATGCACAACAATGTGCGGTTAGCCTTACTGACCTCTTCCTCGCATTAGCAGCTCATGTCCATCCTGGAGTCAACAATGACTCCAAGATCCCTTTCAGCCACTGTGTTGTTGAGAAGGGAGTTCCCCAGCCTGTAGGTATGCTGCAGGTTCCTTCTCCCTAGATGCAGCACCTTGCACTTGTCTGCATTGAATTCCATCCTATTCTCATCCGCCCACCCCTGTAATCTGTCTAGATCTAGTTGGATTCTGTCCCTTCCCTCCAGTGTGCCCACTTCTCCCCACATCTTTGTGTCATCAGTGAATTTGGACAACGTGTTTTCCACACCCACTTCCAAGTCACTGATAAAGATGTTGAATAGCACAGGCCTGAGGACTGAGCCCTGGGGAACTCCACGGCCCACATCACTCCAGGTTGAAAATAAGCCATCCACCACTACTCTCTGGGTTCACCACCACTCTCTGGGTGTTTAGTATCGCTGGTCTATAGACAGATCTCCAAGCAGTAAAGGAGCAAATTAACTGGTTTCCATATGGGGGGATAAAATGAGAAAACCATGTATAACTAGTACCCTGCTTTTTATAAAACAGCCAAATAGGAGAGGAGATTAATGTCACCCTAGAAACTGTCTATAGTACTGACTTGTCTGGGTCAGTGGGGGAGAGCACAATGCTTTGCAATGAAAAGGTGACAGCCTTCTGAATGATACTATCCCATATTGCCATTTGAGCCTCTCAAGAGATTCCTGATGCATACAGCCCTGATGATTAGTATGAAGCAAAGTTATTGGATCTTGTTGGCTGTGTCTGCCACAGAGATGTTCTTACAGCCAATGTATCTCTTGCGGGAGTTTGTCTGTGAATTTGCCTGACAAAGTTTTTGAGTGTACTCTTGAATTACTTTTTCTTAGATATCTAGAAACAAGGCCACATTAGTTCTTGAAAAGTCATTAAATCATCGGAGTGGAGGAAGATGATCCTTAGATTATGGCCTCACGAGATGAAGATAAAATATGTACAGGCAGCTGCTGCTCTGGCTTTTACACCCTCATCAGGGGATCCAGGATAGATGTATGCTTTGACCCATGGGCTGAAACTACATTTATGTTGACAGACAATTGGATTTTGGCCTGGAAGAAGGTGTAGACAGTGTCTGATGGAATAAAGCATGCCTCAGGGAGCCCAGTAGAACTCAGAAGGTACCTATATGGTCTTTGGAGTACTCTGCACTCAGTGAGGAAAATTCCTTTGATCCAGATATATAGTCACAATGGCTAGATTCAGATGTGCAGGCATGTGTGGCTTGTGGTGCCGCAAACCTCTTTGCAGTGCCACAAACTACAGATGTGACATGTTAAAAAGTGCTCCATGCTGCAAATTTGCAGTGCAGGGAAAATATTTGCTATTGGGAAATCCCAGTAGCAAAAAACAAAAAAACAAACAAAAAAAAGTGGCGACAAAAAAGCAGCGTGCCACATGGTCCAAGAACGAGCACTGGAAGGCACAAAGGTTCAGTACTTTTCTTAGATATCTAGAAACAAGGCCACATTAGTTCTTGAAAAGTCATTAAATCATCGGAGTGGAGGAAGATGATCCTTAGATTATGGCCTCACGAGATGAAGATAAAATATGTACAGGCAGCTGCTGCTCTGGCTTTTACACCCTCATCAGGGGATCCAGGATAGATGTATGCTTTGACCCATGGGCTGAAACTACATTTATGTTGACAGACAATTGGATTTTGGCCTGGAAGAAGGTGTAGACAGTGTCTGATGGAATAAAGCATGCCTCAGGGAGCCCAGTAGAACTCAGAAGGTACCTATATGGTCTTTGGAGTACTCTGCACTCAGTGAGGAAAATTCCTTTGATCCAGATATATAGTCACAATGGCTAGATTCAGATGTGCAGGCATGTGTGGCTTGTGGTGCCGCAAACCTCTTTGCAGTGCCACAAACTACAGATGTGACATGTTAAAAAGTGCTCCATGCTGCAAATTTGCAGTGCAGGGAAAATATTTGCTATTGGGAAATCCCAGTAGCAAAAAACAAAAAAACAAACAAAAAAAAGTGGCGACAAAAAAGCAGCGTGCCACATGGTCCAAGAACGAGCACTGGAAGGCACAAAGGTTCAGTACTTCTGGGAGATGCTCTGGCTGCCAGTCAAAGCATCTTCCCTCCTCTTTTTGTCCTCTGGGTCCTCCAGCATGCTGGGACCTGGGAGAAGTGGGGAAATTACATTTTCCCAGAAGTGGGGCATTTTGCCCTGCACCAAAACACATGTGCAGGGGTTTGTACACAGTAGCAAAAAACAATGGCACAAATTTGTGCCACTGCTATTTTTGCTGTGGCAAATGCATGCCCCTGCATGTGTATGCTCATCTGGACACACCCAGTGACTTTATATCATCATAGAGTGACACCCTAAAGACACCGTAAGTCTCAATGAACCTGAAAACTAGTGAGAATGTTCTCTGGCAGATTTTACCTTTAAAGAGGAGGAAGAGAGAATTTTCAGCAGTGGAGGCTGGCACACACCACTAAGATGAATAAATGGTCCTTGAGGCAGTCCTCAGGATGACACAAAGGTTAACACAGATGTTTTTAGAGGTTCTAAACTGAAGGATGAGTAGAAGCTAATACAAAATCCTGTACTGAATCCTTCTAGAAGGATTCATTAGTGACTTGGACAAGGGATTGAAGTGTACTCTGTCCAAGTTTGTGGATGATACAAAACTGTGGGGAGAAGTGGACACACTGGAGGGCAGGGAACAACTACAGGCAGACCTGGACAGGTTGGACATGTGGGCAGGAAACAACAGAATGTGATTTAACAAGGAGAAATGCAAAGTGCTGCACCTAGGGAGGAAAAATGTCCAGCACACCTACTGCCTAGGAAATGGCCTGCTCGGCAGCACAGAAGCAGAAAGGGATCTCGGAGTCCTAGTGGACTTCAAGATGAACATGAGTCGTCAGTGTGACGAAGTCATCAGCAAAGCTAACTGCACTTTATCGTGCATCAACAGATGCATGACAAACAGAACCAAGGAGGTGATACTTCCCCTCTATCGGGCGCTGGTCAGACTGCAGTTGGAATACTGAGTCCAGTTTTGGGTGACACACTTCAAGAAGGATGTGGATAACCTGGAGAGGGTCCAGAGAAGGACCACTCATATGGTTAAGGGCTTGCAGGCCAAGCCCTATGAGGAGAGACTAGGGCACCTGGACCTCTTCAGCCTTTGTAAAAGAAGGTTGAGAGGCAACCTTGTGGCTGCCTATAAATTCATCATGGGAATGCAGAAGGGAATTGGTGAGGCTCTACTCACCAAGGCGCCCCTGGGGGTTACAAGAAATAATGGCCATAAGCTAGCAGAGAGCAGATTTAGACTGGACATTAGGAAGAATTTATTTACAGTTAGAGTGGCCAAAATCTGGAATGGGCTCTCAAGGGAGGTGGTGCTCTCCCCTACCCTGGGGGTCTTCAAGAGGAGGTTAGAAAGGCATCTGGCTGGGGTCATCTGAACCCAGCACACTTTCCTGCCTATGCAGGGGGTCAGACTCAATGATCTATTGAGGTCCCTTCTGACCCTAACATCTATGAATCTATGATATCAAAATGCTACATTTCTCTTTTACAAGTCCTTTTCTGATAAGACGTTTTGAACCTCCATCTTCTGGGTGTACGATCACTAAATATGTATGAATACTAAGTATTTCAGCATTGAAAGTGCACAAAAGATTGTGAGGGTGAGGGTAACATGGGGACCTTCAAATTTCAGTCAAGGACTCTGAGAAGGAACTGAGGAGAGTCTGGCTGGCTCTACTTCCTTATGTCCTCAGCCTGCAAGAAGATAAGATGGGAGCACATATTCCCCTACAGGTACTAAAAGTCTCTGAGTAGAACAGCCTGGGCATCCACATGCCTACCTACAATGTGATATGCATGTTTTTTAATGAGTGAGGTAATGTATGTTTGTGAAAGTTTGGTTTTATCACCTCTTTATCAGTGGTCATGAATAGTAGCAAGTCCCTGCCCTTTCCTCCTCCACTGAGTTTGGGAAATTTAGCACTAAAAGGTGTGCTGTCTCTCAAAATCTGTGCATTCAGAAAAGCACAAGGACTAGATGTTGCTGAACTTTACTGAAGGCAGTAGGAAAGGCTATTTACATGCTGCCCTATTCTTTGTCTTTTCTCCTAACCCCTAGGGGGAGGCACAAACCAGTCCTTAACTGTCCTATTGTTGAAGAGTAGAAGGTCCTATACATAAAGTTTTACATTTAATCAGGATCACACAATATTTCATTTTCACAAGATTGGTAAAGTCTTCTATAACAAGGTCTTTTGGATGAAATTTTAGAGACTGTAGCTCAGCTTAAATATCCAAATAGCTTTCTTTTTTTGTTTGTAAGAATTGTGTCTATCTTGGTCACCTGGGCAAAAAAAGCTTCTCTTTTTCCAGGATGTCTTTCTGTGATACCAACAGAAAACAGATTATAAAATGGTGTGAATCAAGCAAACAGAAAATACCATCACTAAAAACAATAATTTGAACAAATTCAGCAACAGTGAAATAGAGCAGATTATAGTTTTTGTTTCTTTTCCCCTCTTACCTTTGTTTTACTGTCAAAACAGGTGAATCCCAAAGCAAAGTCAACTGTGAAGCACAGGGAATCTCCTTGCCAACTGCACATATATGTTTTAGACTGGAAAAAGTGTTAATGTTGAAAAAATGGTTATAATTCTTCAATTTACCAATAACAGTAATACTTAAAATCTTATTTATTATTTGTGCAAGGTGCCAAGCCAGTAACACTAGAACAGGTTTATATCAGTCATTTAAAGAGTTTGTCAGTAAAGTATAACTGCACAGAATATTAGACCTGTTCACTACAGGTGGTTCCTCTCTACTATGCCAAAGACAAACAAAAATGCATCTTTCGAACATGACCCGAAATCTACTTGCTTCTGTCCATTACAAAATGCAGACATGGACCATTTAAATGAATATAATAATTGTAAAACCTTCTTCAGACTACTTAGAACTAATACAAGGGTCTAGATGCATTAAATATTAGTTGGTTATTACCTGGTATCTAATGAACTTTGTTGAGATAATCTAGTCTAAATAGTGTGGTTACTGTTTAGGACAGTGGTGCTCAACTTTTTGGCTTTACAGACCAGATGAGCGGTGAAGGATGAGTTTATGGGTTGAATAGAGCCCCGTGACTGCCAGGATTGTGCCCCAGGAGTCTGGTGCTGCCCTTTCCAGCCCCTTACACTGGGATTGGGTCCTGGGGACTGTGGTGCCCCCTCCTGGGCCCTGCGCACTGGGACTGGGCCCCTGGGGCCTGACACTGCCCCTTCCCAAACCCATACACTGGGATTGGGTGCTAGGGCCTCATGCCACCCCTACCCAATCCAGTCATCCAATCTAGTGCAGGGCCTGAGGCTCTCTGGGAGTCTGGAAACTTGGCAGCAGTTGCCACTGCTCCCCCACAGCCAACTTCCCAGACCAGTGGGGAGCCCTTTGGTTCTGGATGACATGGTGTCACAGGATGGGGGTTGAGCATTCCTAGTCTAGGACATCAGTATCTGCCACCTTTATAATTCCACTTTAAACTTGGCAAATTGCCTTTGGAATCAGCAAGATTTCTTTGCAAGCTCTTAAAACTTTGTTAGAATTCTACTGCAGTAAAAATAGTTATACTGAACTAATTAACTCAGGCTGCTATCTTGTCAGCCAATGAAATATGAATGTTAATTCTTTGACCTTTTTAAAGTTAAAAAGGAAGTTTCTGTTATGAATATGTTTTACAACAAAAGTCTATTAAAATTAAAATTTACCTCTGCATACATTTTAGACTATCAGTATTGTATGTAAATTGGATTCAGAATGCAAAGACAGGCAGTCTGCGGTGCTACTGCCTACAAATTTAAAAATAACTCGATGGGTTTTACATTGAAGTAAAGAGCAAACATACCACTAAATTTAGTGCATGTAAAGAGCAGGCCTCTTCTCCATTTTTTCTTTACTCCAGTTTACAAAGTGCTTTCTAAAATGCTAAATATGGCCTCTAATTTTGATAGAAAGTTTTCCAAGGAAGCAATCTTTCAGTCTGACATTAATTTTTCATAAACAGCATGGGCCTCCCACATTTAGAGATGTATTTAAAACATCATATTTGGATAATATTTTTAAATGCTACAGAATGTGGTTGTAACAAGCGAATGGTCTGTGAAGATTGGAACCATTAACTTGAACAGGATTTTTTTCAGGTTTTAAAAAACAGTAATTCTTGATGTTGAAAAACAAACTATTAGTATATTTTAAATCTTTGATATTTAATGTTCATGAAGGCTTTCCTTAACATTTTAAAATCCTATTATTGTAATCAAAATACAAAATGTGTCACACTTATTCTAATATAAAACCCACAAATGAGTTATAGCCTTGAAATTTCACAGCTAATAAATGTTTTCACAGTTTGTAAAGTTCATATTTCAGTATTTCAGCAGGCTGAATGATGAAAAAAACAGATTTATAAATATATTTTTGAATAAACTATTTTATTTTTTTATCTGCTGCTGTTCAGGGAACATGTTCTTGGGGATCCATGAACATTCTAAATACTTGCATGCAGTTGTGACCAATGTTTGAGAGACTACAACATCATTTCTCATTCACTATAAAGTGACATTAAGCAATAGACCTAATTTATTCTCCTATTTTGTCCAATCTGTTGGCCAGAACCCGATGCAGTATAAGATTGGCTTAACTTTAAATGTATGTTTAATTGAGGTCCTGAATCATAAAGAAGAAACAATACCCTGAAAGCAATTGAGCAGCCATAAATAGTAAACACTGAAGTGAACAGTTCATGAATTTATACTGAAATATTTGGCAAATATTGTAAAATTGTGTGTCTAATGACAAGACAAATTTGTTGCATTTCAACCATGATATGCCAGCTATGCAAGTGGTTCTCAACTGGTGGGCCAATGAAGGGCAATAAAGCTGAATAGAGAGGTAACCAAGGGATCTAGCATATCCCCAAACATTTCTGGTGCCAGGAAGAACCACACTGAGAAACTGGGCTGTGATGCATGTTCTACATCCCAAACAGGAAGCAGAAGAGCCTCCTTCATTCTCTGAGAAAAAATGCTGTTTAGCCCAGGTATAGCACAGTGACAACATGCTTATGCTGCTTCTGTTCCAGAACTACCAGTTGGAGACCTAGTTTAAAAGTCTTTGTAGCCTGCCTGACAAGAGAATCATAAGGGATGTAGACTCAGACTTCCCCACAGACAATGTCCATTGGGCTGGGGGTGGACATTAATGCCCACAGTGCATTGGGTTGTGGGGGACATTAGCTGTGGGTAAGGAGATAGGGTTGAGAGAATCCCCTGTTCAGAGTCAAATTTTTTGAGAAACACTATACTGTGCAGCCAAATTTTAACAGAATCAATATTTACTGAAGACAAAACAGAGCTTTTCTTTACAAAGCACATTTATTCTTATTCCACAAAAAATACCTTAAGTTTAACTATATACATGGCTGATGTTTAACTTGATAGTCTACATGTTACACAACTTCTCTAAATAATCTGTAAAAAGTTTAGGTTCTCAAACATCTCCTTAATTTGGACATTGTGGGTCCTGACAGATGTGGGGGAAAAAAGCAACCCTACGCTGTATTGGAAGCAGCAGCGCATTAATTTGACCTGGTTCTACAGCATCTGTATAGATCAGGGGCTTTAGTGGGGCTTTTTGGCACATTAACTAAAGCAATTCCATCATTTTGATAAAAGCGCCAAAGAGCCCCACTAATGTGCCTGATCTCTACAGATGTTGAGAAAGCTGGGTACAGCTAATGTGCTGCCTCTTCTGGGCATGCGCTGGGCTTGGTGCGGCAGGGCGCTGAGTTTAAAGTAAAGCACTAATTTTTTTCCTCCACATCTGCAAACAGCCTCTGTTAATAGATTGTACCTTTCCCACTGATGAAAGGACAGACTTTGATCCCTTTCTGTTCAGAACTGTAGCTACAGCCTTTCCTTACAGTTGTGATTTCATGGCAGCCACGTGTGTCTACAACAACTGCCTACATAGAAACTTATTATTAGAAACCTATTTAATTTTAGCTGTTTTAGATGGAAATTAGCAGAGAGTAGAGTTAGCACCACGTGAGTTGCCACATTTCTGCTTACTTCCAGTGACTCTCCAAAGACCAGTTTCTGAGAAGCCCTAGTTAGGCTAGTGACAGTATTCAAAAGAATATGACTTTAAACATCTTCCTTGCTGCTAAGACATCAGCTTACCACAGAGTAGTCAGAAAATGTGTGTGTGTGTGTCTGTGTGTACACATAGCTAATTCTAACTTGCATTTGGCCTAAACTTCCTTTAATATTTTTATTAAAAACAAGTTTCAGATATAGTGGAATAGTCTAAAAATAATCCATATGCATCTCCCTAGTTCTACTTACATAGGAACATGAGTTTTACTTACAGTATAAAAGTATATGATAATTTAAAACACTAAGGGCATTTATAAACATACTTTTTTGCCCCACAATGTGCCAGAGATCTGCTGCCTTGGAGCACATTCAATTAATCAAGTTTGCTTTGCACACAAATTGAGGAGAACTGTGCTACGCTGCATGTAGTTGTATAAGCGGCAAAATGAGCATCAGCATGCAGAAAAACGTGGCAGTGCACTTTTGAACTAAAGCACCTCCAATGTGTTTTAGTTCAAAAGCATGTTGCTATCATTTCCTCAGCACTGACACACATTTCACTGCTCATACAACTGTAAGCATCGCAGCACCAGCGCTTTTGAAAACACCTGGTGCTACGGTGCTTGCATATACAAAAATACCCTAAGAAATGTGCTGTAGGGACTGTCCTGGACTTGCAGGTGTATGGACTAGATGAGCTAACTGACTTTGCCATCTTTAAATCTGATGATTCAGTCACTGGTTGGAGATGTAGACTAGAAATTGATGTGACCTTCTAATCAAAGCGTCAAAAACATAGGAATGTAGAAATAGAAAGAGTCTCCAAGGGACCTTCTGGGCCAGCCCACTGCATTTCAGGCAGTTATTAACCAAAGAATCCCTATAGTTGCTACTGCAAATTGTCATACAGAACTGCAATGGACAACATCTTAAAACAGGCAAAAATGACCTATAATGTCATAGATAAAAGCAGGGAAGATGAGACTACTGTCAATATATGCTTAAAGGTCCTAGGAAAAGTACAATGCCCCTTAACAAACAAACCCCACCATGGTCTGTGCCAGTATGACTTAGGAGAAAAATTCCTTCCTTATCCCAAATGTGGTGGTTAGTATAACCTTGAGTGCAAGAGAAAGTCTAGGTTGGAAAGTCTGGCTTTTCTAAGTATCAGGGAAAAAATTAAATCAGTGCACCTCAATCAACCTCCCTTCCCCCCCCTACTTTAGACAAAAATATCCCCCATGAGCTCATAACATTCGTGATGAAAGGGGGGGGGGGGGAATTACCTAATCTTACCTGATCAACAAAAACCCTGGGTTGTGAGATAAAAGACTAAGGGTGGAAGCATGACTTATGAGAGGGGACTTGACAACAGTCTTTAAATACCTGAAGGGCAATTACAAAGTGGGTAGAGATGGGTTAATCTCTGTGCTTATCAGGAACAGGACTAGAAGCAAAGGCTGCAAGTTTC